ACAGTGAAGTCCCTTACATGTCTTTTTTATGATGAACCTTAACAATTTCCAGTAATTGCCAGAAAACAGCAAATTAGCCTACACACTTTAAATTCCATATAAGAATATTTCCTACGGTCAATTTTCCAAAACCGACTGAAATAAGATTAACGGTTGTATAGATCTCTTTTACATGTATCTGTGCAGATGCATGGTATATACAGACTGGTAAGAAAAGAACATTTTAGATAGAAATTCCATGAATTGATAAATTATTCCTTTCATAAAATGGACTAACAAATTAAAATAACCAAAAAAAAAAAAAAAGGGGAAAAAAAGAAAAAAACACATGGCTGTTAAGTGTTAAACAGACTCTCAGGAATGTTAATCTGAAATTCAAGTATGTATATCCTCCGCGTTTCTACGCTGATAATCGTCAGGTAGTTGAAAATTTTGGACCCTGGTTTTTCCAACCGTTTATAGTTGAGATTAAATATTGTTATACTGAATATGATTATGCTAAATAAAAACCGTACTGGCAGTAGATTCAGTTAATTAAAGTTTTGTTTAGATATCCGTCATCAGGTAGCTGACAGCCTTCAATTCCGTGAGTGATTTGTAGAGTACTGCACTGAACATCAAAGATATTAGGCGTGCTTTTGAATTATTCATCAAAAATCTGTCAAATGTGGAAAATAATCTCCCTACAAGTTGGTACTTCGCGTCACTCAATCAACACGCGAATAGTCGTGTCTACTCTACCCCCCTCCCCTTCAAAGTCAATACGGAATGACTTGTGGAAAGTTTACACTGGTCAAACCTGTGTGGCAGGAATGGCAGTCCGGGATCCCATATAAAAAAGTACAGGTTAGGGTTAGATGGAGTATTGGGATTAGTATATGGGTCTAATGTCACCAGTACAAAGTAATGGGAAGCGGACTACGGTTCCTAGCGGACTTCCATTCCTGTTACACCGGTTCGCCGCTATTCGACAAAACGTCGTTAGTGTTTGAGGTAAGGTTGTTAGGGAAAATGCAGAGGTACATATTCAAGCACAAAGAACAAAACTGGCATACATGACAGGTATCGCCTTTATTGCTCTATTTCGTTGCGCCCCCGGAGCGAAACGTTGCACTATTTTTTTCATGTGTAACCAGGTCTAACGGCACATTGGGATAACAGGTGCTTCACAGACCCTGCACACCTGTGGACGGGTGTCAGAAATGATGTATTTCGCCTTCCATTATTTCCAGACCAGATATTTATCAAGTTAAGGCCAGAAAAAAAACGAGAAGCTGGTTAAAGAGCGGGACCGACCCGTCGTTTTGAGTAAAATGTTGAAGACTTTTTTCAAACGGAACTTGCATTGCGGTATTGGTTTCATAAGAGAGGATATCTTTAAAATGGCCCCATTATGAAGAATATGCTTGTGTGGTCCAAAATGGAACACGTAGTGGATTTGATAAATAAATAAATAAATAAATAAATAAAAAAATAAATAAATATAAAAATTATAATGAAGGGTGCTCAACCCGACAATTAAGCTACTGTAGATAAACTTAAGGCATCATATGACAAAAGACAAGGGCAAAGTTTAATTTTGCCTACCATACCTTGCTAACATCGACTTCTTTAACCAAATTATCAATTTTGTTTGGCCTAACTTATCCATTATGTACATGCATTTTTGTTTTTCTTATTCTGCAAATCGTTTTAGACATCAAAGGAAAGCTGTGTACTCAATAATGCAGCTGTGATGTCTTAAGTATCGTTCTAGAAAGATGTTTTAACTTCAGATTAGAGTTCAATGCTATCCATGTGCTATGGGAGTACTTCTGTATCATTGCAAACATGCTGCCCAGCTTGGTTCTGTACATCAAGAGAGAGAGAGAGAGAGAGAGAGAGAGAGAGAGAGAGAGGGAGTGTGTGGTGGTGGGGTGGAGCGAAGGTTTACAATCTGCTAAATAAGCCAATTTCTATTTCTATATACTAAATCAATTAATATAGCTCTCTTGTGACGCCATCTGAGAGAGAGAGAGAGAGAGAGAGAGAGAGAGAGAGAGAGAGAGAAGGGGGGGTGGAGCGACGGTCTGCAATCTGCTAAATAAGCCAATTTCTATTTCTATATACTAAATCAATTAATGTAGTCCTCTTGTGACGTCATCTGAGAGAGAGAGAGAGAGGGGGTGGAGCGACGGTTTATAATCTAATAAATAAGCTAATTTCTATTTTTATACTTAATCAATTTATATAGTAGTCTTGTGACGTCATCTGTCTCTTAGCCTTGAGCGGTTTTAATTGTCGTCTTAACAGTTTGAATTCCGCTGAGATAGGTTTACTTAGAGCACTTTAAACAGATTTTCAACAAATATGTACTTTTAAGAATTGCTTTCAATTTTAGTTAGAACAAGAAAATTGCACTCAGGCAGCGAAGACCTCCGCCAAGTCAAATAATTAAGTAATTATTAATCATTCATTAATAAATAGATCATCACCAAAATATAGTCACAGTTGGACTAGCACGTTTCTGACCTATCCTAACACTTTTTTTTTTATCAAAAACCATTCGTAACGTTTTGAATTAGGCCGGTGACAAACGGACAGACATAAAAACGGAAACGTAAGTGCTACTTCTCCGGCGGAGTTAATGGAACGCTGGGTCAGTTTGTGTTTCAATTAATTTGGAATGTTTTCCAACACTGCTTATTTTTAATATGCTATGGATGCAATGCAATATCGATCAGAATTCTGTGTCGTTTTTTATTATCCGTTAATGTTGCAAAGTTTGATGAGAGAGAGAGAGAGAGAGAGAGAGAGAGAGAGAGAGAGAGAGTTAGTTAGTTGGGGCAAAAACGCCGGAACGAGTGAGGAATTGGCCCTCAAGCTTTCCTTCAAGATTTTCCCAGCAGAAAAAAAACAACCCTAAAAGATGTAGCAATAATGTATCGGCTGTCGTTCGCAATCAATTTAGCCTTGAGAAGCAGGAACAGGGGGTTAAAATAGTATCGGCATTCTCGGTAGGAAGGTCAATGGGTAATCTAGCCGACGCAAATCAAATTAAGCCGTTGAGTGTGTAATTGAGACTTAGTGCTCTCCAGCGGCTGGAAGAGGAAATTTAAGTCACAATTTCTCGGTTTTCAAGCAGAGAATAAGTGAAATAGACATGTCCGTGTTCAATGTAGCCTATGGAAAGATAGACAGAATTGTTGCTTGACAATGGCCCTTTATGCGGATATCACGTAGCTTGATTTATTATAAATCTCTATTGAACACTTTCGATTTTATGGTCTCTAACTCTGTCTCTCCAGCCGTCTTTCTCCCTCTCTCTCTCTTTCTCTCTCTCTCTGCATGATTAACCAAGATCCTCTTAAACACGTTGAAGATGAAGCCTCACTTTCAAAACTGACACACATTTCAATCATTTATGTTATATAAACAACGCAAGCATTGACAGCGAAGAACCAACATGCTGCAAGGGGGAGGGAACGCTTTGAATGTCTGGTGTGTCAAGGCTTCCTTAAGGAATGAATCCGAATGAATGTTGATCGATATAAAAAGCCACGCTATAATTTATTTCATGTACGTAGTAGTCGTTTAAGGTGTACAAAATATTGACTTTTGCGTGCGAAAAAAAGTAGCAACCCCAATTACATAAATTTTAGATGATTTCAGCGTTTGGGACCTACTTAACTACTTGCATTGGTGTCTTGAACGAATGTGAGTTGATCTGGTTTCATGAAAACTAACGTCTTTTTAAACGTGCAATTTTATGGTTTATTCATCTTTTAAGGATGTTACCAATGAGTGAATGAAGAAGGGAATTATGAATAGAAGTGACTGGGACAAATGATGTATTTGAAAAAGGAAAGAGCAACTGAGATATTTTAAGTAGATTTAATTCTTGGAAGCTTTTAGAACTAACCAATCAGAGCAATCGCTGGTTGCGAAATGGATACTGCGGTCACAAGCACTGAAACAAATGCATCGTCTCCGCTAAAATGGGAACAATGCTAGTTCGATCAAAGCCAAGGTCGTACTGGTATTGATGAAAACAATAGTATGGAACGCATGCGTAAATAAATTGATGTATCACGTTAAGTAACGTAATCACTAAATGGTGATAATAAGTGATGATGGATTTTTTTCTCATTTCGCAGTGCAGCCTAACTGATGGCATACGTGTTTTTTTTAATATGTTGGGTAATTGTTTGGCACCTACAGCTACTGCGCTACTAATTTTCTCCCCCTCCAAAACCAATTGTTTTGGAGTTTAATACTATTTTATACCTCCTACCTCAAATAATCGTCGCTCTCTCTCTCTCTCCTCTCGCAAGTTCTCCCTGCGAGCGTGTTATATTTGTGAGCGAACCGTTTGCATGTTAAGATCTCTCATTCTCTCATTCTCTCTCTCTCTCTCTCTCTCTCTCAGCAACATGTCTTTAACATGGTACTAATTTCACGCCCCTTTAGATTGCTGCCATAACCTCATTCACTGGTTCTGGTTCGAGTTTCTGGTTCTCGCTTTCCCAGCCATACCCACACGACTATACATGAAGTACCGTACCTGACCGTACAAATACCGGTATTACACAGCGATTACGGCCGCTTGCCGCCATGTGGTTACGCAAGTGTACAAACTGGAGCGCCACGGTCGGACGCGTTCAGCACCGGCTTGACAAAACAAGTTTCAAGACGTGAAATATCAGGAAATATACGGCATGAATGCAATGTGACGCCAGGGAATGTGTGTGTTTGCCCCAACCTTCCATCCGCATGCCTTAATTGCTGTCGGTTTTCACGGGAAAAGGATTGCGTTGGTTGTTCTTAACACCCTGGTTCTTTGAGCTGTAAGTTTACTGACCGCATTAACTGAACTGGCGTTGCACACGCCCCTTTACGAGACGTTCATCCCATTTCAAAACAGGAAGTTGGTAAACTCCTCACTTTCGCTCGATCCGCAGCTTAACGCGGTCATTTGTATGGGTTGAGTAGAGAGCATAGCCAATTGAAGCTATTAACGACCGGACCTTTAGCCTCCCTCCAATGCAACGTTGATTTTTCACGGCCCGCGATCAAGAGAGAGCATATCGACGTTTCGACAGACTTGTTTAAGGCGGCCGGTAACGCCAACAAAGGCCTCGCTTGTCACCGGCATTGATTACCAACCCGAGCCATTTTTAAAACCTCGAGAGTAATTAACACAGGGATGCTCAGCAATCAGCGCTGATCCGTGTCTCTGTATACATAGCGGGTCAACCAGAACCCATTTAGCAAGTTTTCCACCGAGCTGTCGCCATTGATCCATGTGTTGATCATCTGTCGTAAACTTGTGTAGCAACAACAACGGCCACTGACAGTCGGGTATCCCAAGAGTGCCATACGAGAAGCAGTGTAATTGTGTAAGGTGATTATAGTGCCAGTGACACTTCTCAGATGTACTTTCATGAGATGACTGTGTTCAGAAACGGGGACACTGAAGGTGACGCGTATTAAATTTTACTGACACGACGCTACAGGTAGATTATGTGACACCGTTTAATCACAGGTGACCCCGACGTGTCAGAATCACTATTAGACTTAATGGCAACAACAACAACAACAACTGAACTATTTGAGGTAGGTTTATAATAACCACATTAGACGAAAGGACAACATAAACTGTCGATAAACCTCTGTTCTTTTTTTTGGACGAACTTTCAAGTCGGACTGGATAGCTGTTGGCTGTTTGCAGCCAAACCAGAACCAGAACCAACCCAATGCAATGGGAAACAGTTTTTTCAGATCAGTTCATAAACACCTGGGCTGGGTTTGGTTCTCTGGAATCGGTTACGTGAGAAGACTTCATTCTTCTCCGTGCCTTGCACAACGACGACAATTTATTGAACTGGGATATTTATGCCTTCTCATTTAGGGCTACAGTAGAGGTAATTGAACAATAATCCAGATACGCTAGCTGCTTCAATCAAGGTAAATATGATGAACAACAACAACAACAGCCCGGCCAAGAGACAATAGCAAATGTCTGCAGCCAGTTAATAAGTGACATCGGCCTGTTTTGACAATTATATCCTTTCATGCTGCTGCTTCTGACAATGCGAATCGTTTCAGGAACCACGATCGTGTCGCGCATTAGTGTTACGAATTAGTTTGGCGTCCCGTGACGGTTTTGAGGATGTTCCGAAACTGATAAGGACTCGCGTGGCAAATGTCATCAGCTTTGAAGCCGGCGTTCCTGCAAAGCAACGTGTTGATAATTTTAATGGAAAGAGCTAATATATATAGCTGGTTCTCAATAAAAGCCTGCGGCTGAGCAAGCCGCAACGTTAATTCACAGCACACAATAGGATTTTTAGATTCTGAGGAGATCTTGAAGGGTAACATAAAATGTGCCGATGCCACACCGTTCACCGAGGGGTCAAAATGTAAAGGAACCGTTTAGAGACAGTTGAGTAGGCTTGAGTAGGGTTTAAACCCCAAGATAATCTCCCAAGGAGACGAGACCGAGGAGTGCAACAAATAGATTCTTACACACACACTAACCATGTCGAGACGGACACAAAGGTACTGGTCGACTTCCTGAATTCATTTTCTATCATTATCGACTTTCTGTGCCCCGTGGGACTCTGGAATATTATGTTTGGTAGGCGAACGTCCAGATTTTCAAAGCCGAGGGAGAAATAACTAATCGGAGCTGCTTTTGCAGCTAATACAATGGCAACAATTCTGCGGACCGGAGAGACTGGACCCCCGGGTAAGGCTAGCGAACCCTGAGTCTCGTTAGTTGGCGGTTTTCAAAGATCCGGAGCTAAAACCAACGTGAGTTAGACATCCGTTCTGTTGAGTGATAGGCTAATTTATGCATAATATGCATATTTGCTTAGGAAATTTTACATTCGCAATACCAGTTATGTCTTTATGTCCGCATAACATCGGCGGATATTTAATGGGCTTTCAGTTTTGGTTTCTTGAAACGCGCAAGAGTTTTTTGAGTTTAGTAAATTGGTCCAAGAAGCCGTGTTGATTCGTTTTGTGTGTTTTGCACATGGGCTTTTACTTATATTCTTACCGCACACCACTAGGTCGTTTCAAATGCACAGAAATATGGTTTATCGCCCGTGTAATCCAATATTTATAGGTCTTAGGGGACCCCATATTCTTCCAGGTTTTACATTATTTCTGTATATATATGTCGTTGTGTTGCTGAGTTTACATTCCGGTCTCAAAACGGGTATATCAGGCTTTATTCTGTGTTATGTTATTTTAGCAAAAATAGATCACAATATATAACATGAAAAATCAATCATTTTTTGTTTAGCTTGGTAGCTTGGCTGCATTGAATTTGATTCGAACGACACCAAAATAGTGGAATGGAAATAACCCTGATTAAAGTTCTTTATTTTGTCCTTTATTTTGAAAAAAAAGCTGTATTGGTACTAATACATAACTCGTACAGCTGACGGAATTTTTACAGCAGTATCGAAGTGGTAGTCGTCCTATAGTTTCTGCGGGTTGTCAGCCATATTGCTTACGGTGCGTTTTGAAGCTACTCGTATACCGAATCAGGTCATGTTATACTGGTGCATTGATTATCGGTGATTATTGATTTGGAAATGTGCTTTCACGCCATTGCCTGATTGACAGAACTCTGTCACGACATTTTATCGACTTTGTGTCCCGGTTCAGTTGGATCAAAATTTTCATATCCCATGATCCATGTATACGAATATGTACCAATGATGATTGAAAGGTTTGTGTCCCTGATAATGTCTTAGGTCCACTCACTTGTTGCATCCATATACCGTATCTAATTTCTTTTCGGAAACCTATATTTGCAGGCTGGTCCTGTTATTACGCTCACGTTCATTTTCATCTCGTGCGATTGGTGGCGCAAATACGTCAAACTGTACCGGTCCAGTTAAGTGTATCGTTCGTCGGGAAAAGGACTTTACTTCCCCTCTTTTTAAATCTACTTGTCCTGTCAGTCCCTCCAACTCCCCAAAACAGAAGAAATCACATTAAAAGGCTACAGGAGATGGATGATAAAGTTCAGTGGTTATTGGTTTTTTTTAGTAAACAATGAACCTATACCGCTTCTTGATGTTATGGTGCTGCCTGTACTTTTGTGCTTTTCTGGGTGTTCATACGTATAATATATATATATATATATATATATATATATATATATATATATATATATATATATATATATATATATATATATATAGCAAGCACTGGTATATGCAGGAACGTTGTCCTACCATAAAAGTGTGTGTGTGGGGTGGGGGTGGGAGGGGGCAAAGGTGCACGTGGACTGATACATGTAGTAGTACATACCTTTGCCATGTCGTGACCTTCACCTTTACCCACACCTCTTTAACACAACCTGGCAGAGAAACCAATCCCTGAAAACCAAATGTGCAATTTAGGTTTACTGGGTAAGAAAGCATAACAGGAAGGGCTTGCAGTCTATTAAGTTTGTCGGTCCATTTAATGTTGCCCAGCATAGCTACACATTGTGTGGAGACTGCGTTTTAATGCGCAATGCATAACTTTCACGGCATTGGTTTTGAGTGTTCTTAGATGGTTTCAGCCAATTTCACATATTAGATGTACTGCTACATAGCTTATGTGCACGGACAATACTGGACAGCGGTCAGTTGTAGGATGACCGTCGGCTGTGATCCCCCTATAGAGATGACAAAAAGGAAGTTTTTAAACTCCTTGTATTGAAGCAGAACGGATATGCTGAAGCAATTAAGGTAGTTATGTTTTCATGCAGCGATTTCTAAATTAAGTTACCGAATTTTATTAACACGCAGTAGGAGGTGAGATACCCCCTGTAATATATTGTTACACACATTTAATGAGAACAATATACTATAATATACGATGAATGGTGCCCAGTCGGATATCTGATGGTAGTCAGCAATGGACACTGCCATATATGCAGTCCTTGAGTGAAATGCATGTTCCATGCATTCATACTAAATGTGGCGACTTCTAGGCCGATGACATACTATTTTTATTTCTTTTTTTTGCAATTAGTTACATTAAGATACTTTTGTGCTAAACAATCATATCCCTATAGTCCTATTTTAACAACCAAATGGAATGGCGACGTTATTCAGATGCATTTTAATTAAAGACCGGTGTTTGAACATTGCAAGCGCTGTAAATGAAATGGCTTATTTTATAGCTTGAAAATATGAGGATTCTAAGTAGATTAATACATTTTTCTTCATTGAGCTTACGTTGATTTGGCGTTTGATACACATGCTCAAGTAGAATGAAAAAGGCCTCTATTGAATTTAGCCACCTCCCTCAAACCAATACTACCGTCAATAGTGTTATTCTTTCTCTAGCATGATATTGTGTTTTTAATGAAAGGTAATATTTAATGTGAAATCAAGGCATACACACGATAAACGAAAGCAGGGAGAGAAGATCGATTTTACACGGTAAAAACGCTTTCTTTTATCATATCCAACACAGGTTTGGCATAGATGTAAGCAAAAATAACACAGTGGCGGGACAGCGAGACTAATCGAAAATTCAATTTTAATCGAAGTCTAAGTTTACACTGTAGGCAAGTTGAAGTCTATATGCAGGGCCTGGATCGGTTTGAGGTCCAGGAGCGGCGCAGAGTCACTTTGAAATGTCTTAACTGGAAGGGGAACATTTCAGACATGTAGGAACCGGTATATACATGTATTGCATCACTTGGTCCACACATTTTAACTTGTAACAATCACCTTTTGTGCCCAAACATGGCCATAAACATGTCTTTCTATCGATCTGGATAGGACTGAAATCTGCAGTACACGTTGTACATTGTACATTGTACGTTTTGGGGCTAGTCCGTGTGGTTTTGGCGCATGCATAAAAAGAAACTTGACACACTGTCCTTTATCATTGCGAATTGAAGGACCAACTCTCTTAATTAAAGCAGACATCTTATTTATAGCACAACTGATATAACTTTAAGAAATAATAGCGACTTAAAAGTGTAACAAATAGCATTATTTTTCTTCCCCCTATCAAAAGCGAGAACCCCCCCAAAACCCCCCTGAAGTGCAGGAAAACCAGTTCTAGACCAACACAGAGGGTCATGAAGGATCGACAAGGAAGTGTGAACGAGCCCGTGAGGGTCCTGAAGAGGTGAAACAGATAATGGTGCACAGGTACTGGGGTAAAGCAATAAATTGAAGAGAGTCCTAAGAATAATATCCCCCTTGGGGCAAAGCAGATGGAAGGCATTACGGAATAATTTGGGTACCAATATGCTTCCAACCTCGGCTGCCCTTTGGAGCAGATCTTGTAATATGGTTATCTTTATTTACAATATCGGGCTCCAAGCGGTTTGTTAATTGCCATTATGTCAGCTCTATAAGTGATCGCTAGGCTTGTTTATTGATTTGTTTATTTATTTACAACACGGGAGTCGCACCTGTTCGAGTAAACACAGGTAGTGGCTATAACGCCATGGGTTAGTCTTTCGTCCATATAGCCTATATTTTAGCATAAAGATGTCAGACAATAATTGTTCTATATAAAGGTAAATTGACGTTACAGCGTCTAAATAATTGATACTATAGATCAACGCATTTTTCAATAGGCAGTATAATCAAATGAGGGACGGCCGCGGTATAGCTGTTAGCTACAGGTCTAGGTCAGGCGGTCTCACAGCGTTAGTTGGCTTCGGAAAATGTACTGTTTTTGTTCCAAATAATAGAAATCAAAAGTCGAACAATCCGTACTGTTATGCAGTCAATTATACACTTAGGTGCTTTAGGTAAGAATATACAGGGCAGAAATCAAACACGTATAGTTTTTTTAGCAGCTAGGTCAGTTCTACCATTGTTTTTGTGGTTGGGTCAGAAAATGGAACGGCAGCAGGCTTTTATTATCACTCTTTGTCGTCTACCTTATAGGTCTGCTTTAGAAATCTGGAAAAGATAAGAGAACTTGAAGGGATTATATTTACTTTTGCAACACAGCTTTGGCGGCGAAGAATCCTAGCATGACAATTTTCTAGTGAAACGCATCCGGTTCCATGCAAATATATATTGCAAGCCTAGCAGATGCCTTCTACATTAGAGGATGAATGGGGAGTTCATCAAAGTACGTGATCGGGATAAGTTCTTTGTTATCTGTATGGAACCATCCGTAACTTACACATCTTTTTTTGCATTGTTCCATTCTGCTTCTCTGGACTAGTTCCTGAAATTGCCAATTGTAGGAATTAGATCGATGCATCAAATGTGTCAAGATACATGCATGTTTATGGGCGTATTCCCATAGATTTTAGATCGATCTATCCCCGTAGGGAGTCTCACTAGATTACTGTCAGATAATCCGGCTTAAATGTCCGTCCCGCCTACTACAAGCTGTAAGGGGGTAATTAACTTTCGTGTCCGCTCGGCTGACAGCTATTTAGCGTGAACCCCCAGGGAGTTAGGTCGATCTAGTTTGGATCGATCTAATCTCTGGGAATGGGGTCTATGTCTCAATGAGATTTTGGCCATCCCAGGAGAGGAAGGATTCTTCGTTTTGTTTTTTGTCGTCTACTGTCCGGATATACTGTAGACTGGATTTATGGATATTTATGGGTATTTTATGCATGAAACAAAGCTATGTTGGTTTGGTGCGTAAGAGTTACCGGGTTGCTAGAAGCCAACAGCGTGTATGCACAGGTGTGTGCGTAGGCTGCAAGGTGAATGTTCTCGTAACGTATCGATCGCCCCACTGCTTCAAGGTCTACGGTGCGTTAGTGTTAAATTCAATTAAAGCAGATTATATCATGTTTATTAAGCATC